GAGACAGATAAATCTGTGAAAAAAATCAGGTTCCTCTGGCTCCTCCTTGTGCTCCTTATGGCATTTGCAAGAATCCACTGGGCCTGAATGAAAACAACCAATCAGAGCGATTTAGTAAACCTATTAAATACTTAAATAATCCATTAAAATGTCGATCATTTATAGATGAAAATCATATTTAAGACCCCTAATGTTAATCAAAATCTCACCGAATAGACCACAATAACACATAACTAAAATCTACTGATATCATGTATTAAGGGCTTTTAAATTAGTTTTTTTTTTAAGTTTTTGAACAAATGGAGAGATGAAGGGATTTCTGGTTAAACAGCTTGTTTCAGTCAGGTGTTTGGGGTGTTTTGAGGGGTAAATTGAGATTAAACAAGGTTCATTTAAGGAGTTGTTGTTTCACAGTGGTACGTTCAGGTTCATATTATTTATCTGAAAATATCTCATAGGAACATTACTGTTCCTGAGTATACAGTCAACTCATCCTAATCCTCTCATTCACTAACTAGATTATGGCTTTTCATTCAGAATGTAATTGTAGTCTCTCTGGTTTCATTTACATATAAAATCCTGCAGTATGCAGAGCTCTCTTCTATCCTTCTTTGTGTTTCCACGCCGACACACCCGTACTTGTGAGTTCTATAGCTTGCGTTCTCCTGCAAAGATGCTCTGGTAGATACTATCTGTAAGAGGAATGTAGGCGTTTTGCTGGTAGTCCAACACATAGAGAGGATCAGAGATTGTAGAGGGGTTGAAGCCGCTCTGCACCAGCTGGAACTTCTGCTGCTTGAAGGTACTCGTCATTTCCATGACCTCCTACGGACAAAAAAACAACATTTATCAGCAGGTTTCAGACTGTAATAAATAAGTTTGGAATTTGGATCTTTAGTTAAAGTGATACATTATGTTGGAGCCATAATGTAGCTTTTTGTTTGTTTTCTGTTGTTTTTCTCTAAAGTATTATGTGACTATATATATGCAGTTTTGGCATTTGACACTAGGTGGAGCAAAGTGCATATAGCTAAGATCCAGGTGATGAGAATCAGGTGTGTGAGTGCAAATGGAAGCAGTGTTTCTTGGATTCTAAATTAACTGAATGGTAATATATGATTGAGTATGGACAAATGCTGACATACTCTTTTTTTTTTAAATAACTTTTTTGAACTTTTTGTCATATTTGAGGAAACCAATCAGAGCCAAGAAAGATAGTTGATTGTTGAGTCTCATTCACAGGTCGTCAAATACTGACACTGGGTACTATTATCTTGGCTCTGATTGGCTGTTTTTGTTCGGGCTGGTGGATTCTTGCAAGTGCAATTAGGAGCACTAGGAGGAGCCAGAGGAACCAGATTTTTTCACATATCATCTGTCTCATGTGCTACTGTCAGGATATAGAGAAAGTTTCAAGTAAATATGAGAAAAAGTTCTTTTTTTTTAGTTATCTACTGCAGCTTTAAAGGGTGTAATTTACAATATGATGTTATTTGTTATTTGCTAAATTTTCAAGGGTTTTTTTCCCCTTAAACTTAAAACCTTAAACTGTGCAGGCCTCTGCTCATTACCTGAAGCCTTATGAAGAGTGGACGAGCATATACCGGCAGATCCCTCAGCACATGCTCAAACAGCTTCTTCCCATTGAACGTGAGGCCTGGTCTCACAATAATGGCAGCCATTCCTGCTCTGCCCTCGTGCCCTGTGGACAACATGGTTCAATGTAATCTCTGTCATCACTCTCTAGCTCAGAGTTATCTATTGCTGCATGTACTACAAACAGAAAGGGATCCCAGCTTGGGATGACTGCAGTAATAATGTTGGTATATGTGGAATATGTGATTAAGGGCTGCGACACCAAGAACAATTAACTATAATGGTAAAAATTTGTGAGCATCCACACTGATTAGAATAGATTAATTGATTTGCTCAGGTCAGTACCATACTAACAGACAAACAATACAATGAACAATAACGTGTATTCAGTGGCACAAAGCACGTACTCCAGCTGTTTCAATAGCTCATAGAAAAATGTATATTGATGACCTGTTACTGCTCATACAAGGAAACCAGAAGCATCCTTCAAAGACAAGAGGAGAATCCAACACTGTTACCAGTGTTGTCTTCTTATGAAATGTTCTTACTTTGGTAAATAAGAGGACATCGGTACGGATCAAATTAACTTCAGTGGTCAAAGAGATAATCGTTTGGCAGACTGTTGGCTGAATGTCTCAGGTAAAAATGTTTATTAAGTGTAATTTGCAGCTTAATATTACGTTATATAAGCATTATATATAAGTTGTACACCACAATATTGTTCATCAAATTGTTCTAAAAATGATATAATTTTCCAATGTTGTTATAGTTGTAACCTGCCTTTTATTAGGAACAGGCCTCTATTCTGTAAAATGAATTGAACTGTGGAGAATCTAATTGATCTGAGGAGGTGTAGCATCCATATTGACAAAAGTTTAAACATTAATATTTGTGCGGGTGATCTATGCAGCTTAGAACTCGCTCAAGCGGGCAACTTGGTGGGTTTTAAGAGGTTTTATACCTCACAAGAACTTCTATAAAACCCAGACTTTTTTAAACTCAGATTTTATGCAAATGCTGGTGTGTTCTTTATACTAAGATAATAAAAGTTATATCCCCTTGCTTACAGTATTGCAATATATTGAATTGAGACCCCTGTATTGTGATACGTATCACATCGCAAGAATCTTGTATCAATGCTGTGTCAATACACAGCTCTACTATTATAATTTTTCAAAGGCATTGTAATTTTGTTGGTATCTGGAGAGCAGAGGTAGAAGTACAAACACTTCTTCAACATACCTGGTATTTCCACTCCATACACGTTGACTTCTTGGATAAATTCCACCAGCCCAAGAGTCTCTGTTACCTCTGTTGTTGCTACATTTTCACCCTTCCACCTGAAATCAGGGAAGAAATGGTGATTTCAATCAACAAGTAGAAAAAGGCTTTGCATAAATGCTATAATACAGAGCATGAATACATGAATACCTGTTTTTATCCCATTTTCACCAAGTGTCTAATCATTAGTCCCTTTACTTTAACATCATCTGTAGCTTTTTTCTTTGTTTTTAGTTATAATCCTTTAGATTCCAGCCATGGTAGCTTTGGAAACACCTGTGGTGACTGGTGCTAGTAGATTAAAGAAGACCTAACACTGAACCTATAATTGAATTGCATGACAAATACTTGCATCTGTCTTCTGCATCACATCCAGGTCATGCTGCACATTTCCTGTGAATCCCTTGTAAGCAAGTACACATTGTTATCCTCGGTGGGAAGGGTAGTAAATGTAATAAACCCTTAAACCAGTGGTTTGATCATTGATTGACTCTGAAGGCTTTAGAATCTTAAAAGTTACAAGTAAAACAAAACACTCAGAGGGGATTCTTTAAGGCATAATGTTCTCAAATCGGGGTGCCTGGTCTAATGTGCATCTATTGTGAGGGCCCTTGAAGTTCCTTGCGAACACTTGAAGTTTGGGAACCCCTGTCTTAATCCACTGGGTTATATGTTAAAATCTGGAGAGGAGCGAGAGGCAGCATGCAGAGCCACGATATTTTCAAATGTAACTTGGTGAATTAAGTTTTTTATTTTCACCAAACCAGAGTAGGTGATTCTTCTTCTTTGAATGTTTCGATGATCTGTGAGGTAAAATTACAGTTTTTTTCTATGGAGTCTGGTGGCTTTGAACAGAGCAATATTACGGCTGTTTCTTGTTAAATAAAAGGTCTATCTTTGTAAGGATCCTTTCCATAATGTTGTCAGACACTTAGAATAACAATCTGAGTACAGTCTGTCAGTGGCAAAAACAACAACCTTTAATGGGCGTACTTTGAGGGTGCCCAATTGCCCATTAGGATTACAGTTCAGCCAGTTTTAGTGGCTGGTGGCTGCCAGCTGCAGCACTCTTGTACAATACTTACCAAATTAAAGAATTGCTGTCCCTATTAGCCGCTTAGACACAAAAACATGGGGAAATACAGTCCAAGTTACCCATTAAAGGTCCAGTGTGTAGGATTTAGTGGTCATCTGGCTAAGAAATGCTCACGTTTCATCTCCACACCTCTAGTTTGTATAACAGCATTGTTGGTATAATGAGGATGTTATACTGAACATCATCATAGGTATGGGACGGTGCTTTAAAGGCGTATGTATGGTTCCTCCCTGCAATAATCTTATCCAACCGTACCTGAAGGTGTCTCCCACTCTGTCTCTGAAGCAGATAAAGCCCTCCTGGTCTTCAGCCATTAAGTCTCCTGTGTTGAAGTAGGCGTCTCCCTTCACGAACACATTTCTCATTAGCTTCTTCTCAGTCAGCTGCTTGCTTCCAGCGTAGCCGAAGAACGGGCTAGTGGCGCTTACCTTGGACAGTAAAAGCCCTGTCTCACCTGAGAGGAAGACAGAAAGTCTAAAATCAATACAAAGCATTTTCAGGTTGAGTCATCTTTCAAAGAAAAAAAAAATCTAAAGAAAACTGAGTAAAAGCTGCAGTAGGTAAAATAACTTTGTTCCTTTGGCTCATTCTAGTGTTCCTAATTGCAAGAATCCACTGGGCCAATCAGAGCCGTGAAAAATATAAAGACGCCTTAGTTGGAAGGCTTGCAGATAGTTGATTATTGAGTCTCATACCCAGAGTCACAAACCATCTGTATTTGATGACCTAGGAATCTTTCTTGGCTCTAATTGTTTTTTTATTCAGGCCCGGTTGTTCCTTCAAATGCCATTAGGAGCACTAGGAGGAGCCAGAGGACCCAGATTTTTTCACAGATTATCTTCTCATGAACTAACTGTCAGGATATAGTGACAAGTTTCAGCAAATATGACAAAAAAAGTTGATTTTTCATAAAAGTTACCTACTGCAGCTTTAATAATTTGTGGAAATGTTTAGGAGTTGCACTCTTACCTTTTTTTACTCGCTGACAGAAACCATCCTGATCTTTCACCGGTTCATCTTTCATCATGTCATACTTGACCAGGTCATACTTGAACAAGAGCTACACAAAAAAGTTCAGAGAAAATATCATTACTATTAGCAGTGCCATTAAAATCTAAAATGGAAGAATCACTCACAAATATCAGATATTTTTCACAGCAGACATTTTGACACTGATATTAAAGTTCTTAATTACTGCTTGTTTTTTTTCTTGCTAATGCTGAAAAAATAATTTGCAATCGTAAAACTTCAGCGAATGGCATTTGCTGCATTGTCATGGAGCTATTCCAAACTTTTTTCAAGTCAATCATAAACTTTAAGAGTAACAACTAACAATAATAGCCTGACGACTACTTTCAGTGATATAATTTGCAATATTTGTATATTTGTAAAGTATATGCAAATTAAACAATGCTGACAGAAATGACTATCACTCTTTTACACTGACGTTCATTTAATGTTTTGGCCACTTGGGGGCAGGAAAAGTTTAACGTCACGTAACGTTTTCATCACATTATATAGTTTATATAGCTAACATTAGCATTCACAATCCGATATAATTACGAATTACCTGTTAAAAAAAAATATTTTTAGTATCAATACTATGTCCTCTGTTCAGTGTATTTTTAAAGAAAAACTGATGTATTTTAAAATTGTAATCTGCTAAATAATTACCATTTTTACTAAATGTAACTGTAACCAATTAGGGGTTTTCTACATACAATTACCTTTTTTTGCATCCTGATAACATTTCATGTAATCCGTTACTCCACAAGCCTGGTACTGTAAATTAAAGGTATTTCTATTCAATTTGGCCAATTTTTTTGTCCTCTATGACAGTAAACTGAATATCTGGGCTGTGGACAAAACAAAACATTTGAGGATGTCACCTTGGGCTTGGGGAAACACTGACCAAACAACTAATAGCGATCAAAACATAGCTAATGTCAGTTACATTACTTGCAGTGTTGTTGTTCACTCTATGTCATGGTATTTGTCCAGAATTACCTACATTTTGTTGACAATGTCAATGCACAACTTTTACTTGTAATGGAGTATTTTTATATCGTAGTGTTGCTACTTTCAGGATCTGAATGCTTCCTCCACTACCAAAAAAACACTGCTGCAGTGCTGCAGCTGCCAGTGTAGCAGTAGCTTAGGTTAAACATCAACACTCTGACATCTAAGTCTAAAAATAATTCTATACTTCACTTTACAGAACTAACAATCATGTTAACTGGATTAGGATGTGTCCTGAAATTATGTTTTATAACTTCACTTTTATAACTATCTTTTATAACGGTTAGTGGGCCAGTAGGAACAGCAGTGAGACAGATCTAAGAATAGCCGAGGTTAGAGATTAGAACTAAATACATGTAGCCACTCTTTTGTAACTCCTCTGATTAAGAGACAAGCTTTAGTGAGCCTAATACCAATGAGAGCCGCTGCACTAAAGCCACTGCACTGGTCATCCTTCCTCACTGTCCCAACCGACTTACAGCCTAATCACTCCTACTAATTATTCAAGCTGACATTCTTTACCCAACCTCGTTATAAGTGGTAATGACATAATGTTCTTTTCAAAATCTTTTTATTGGGGTTTTCAAAAAAATCACAAAAACCATTGGAAAATAAACATGAGGCGCAATGTCTACTAATAAGAAATAAGACCAAACTTATAGCTATTTCCATGAAGTCTGGTGTTATTTTATGTGTCAAGGGCGGAGTTAGAATGCATATCAGGCTATGTCGTTTGGCTGTTATTAAAGTATGTCAAAAAGGGAACCCTACAGGAGCTGCAGTTTTGGAGATGCTCTGGACCCAGTCGTCTAAGCCATCACGGAATGTGGCCCCTTGTCAAAGTCGCACTCCAAATCCTCAACGCTGGTCCCATCTGTTTTCATGCTTTCCTTAACAAAACATCAACTTGTGGAAGAAACGAATGTTTTCCACTTGCTTGCCCTAAGATAATACTCCACCACTGACATGAGCCATGATTACCAGATAATCAGTGTTATTCACTTCACCTGTCAGTGCTCACAATGTTATGGCTGATCAGTGTGTATATAATTTCTTTATTCTATTATTTAATTAATTAGACCTATACTGTATATTCATAGCCCTATGTCTATAGCCTTGTATTCTCTACTATACTGCTGTATATATTTCCGTCCTTTATTTTTGCACCATGCCACCATCTCCTGCTGTTCCTTATCAGTCACATATGTATATAAAAAGCTGTATGTAGTGTACATGTAACTCTTATTCTATTTTTATTTCATGTGTATTTTCTTATCTGTTGTATCTAGAGCTGCTGTAGCAAGTAAATTGCCCCAGTGTGGGATCAATAGTCTATCTTATCTTATCTTAAGGGAGGACATTATGTCTCGAAGCCACTGACTAAGTGTGGGCTGGCCAAGAGTGAGGCAAAGGCAGCCATGCGGTGCTCTGAGAGGTCAGATGAGGATTGTCTCTGTCGGTAATGCCACAGGAGAGAGATAGGTCCTCACAGTATGGCACACAACCAGGCTGTCTATTGGTTTAGTCAGATCGCCACTGTAATGATATAATGTTAACGCTCTGACACATTATTTTCACGAGAAGGTGTTGCTGCTATTTTGCAAAGCCCAAGATATCACAAAGAACTTATTACAATCTATTATATTACATTACATTACATTAGTAGTCCTGTATTACATTATATTGTATTAAATTATATTCAATATAATAATGGTCTTGTATTGTGTCATATTTAAATATATTTATTTTAAAATGATAATATAATACAAACAGAAACATCCTACATCCTAATACTATTGTATTTATTGTAATTGTAATATAATGTATTTTATCATATTCAAATGTTTTAAACTGCTTTTTACGAAATTTGTATTGTAGTACATCCTATTGTAAAATGTTTTTTATATTTAAAATATGTATAAGTATATTAGCATTATCAAATGATAGAAACATTGTATTACAATTCAGTTGCATAAAACTTTTATTGACCACCAGTTGGAAAAAATAAATGTTGTTTTTTGTTGTTATTTTTATGTATTGTAAGATGTTTGCCATTTTATATAACAAAAGTGCAACAAAAAGGTATTTCTTATGAGTAAATCAACAAAACTGAAGATGTTATTTTTCTTCATAAAGATAAATATTATTATGTTGGACCTTACTATATATTTTATAGGTGTTGATGATACTGAGTCATATACAGTCAGCTGACACCTTACAGATGAAGGCCACTTGCTCCATTCTGGATAACACATGATCTGACAGACTCAGACAGTCCACTCAGACAGACTCTCACTGCAGGTCACTCAGATAGCCATGTGCACTTCAGTGGTCAAAATCAAGTCTTGGACACTGCTTCTGCCACAAGATGTGTCTGATTAGCAGCCATGTTTGGGGAGTAACCATTTCTTAAAAATGTCAGTATTTCCTTTAAGGTAAGACCAACGTTTTTGAAACCATTAACCATCTCAATCTCAGTATTCATCTGTCTTCATGCAACATTGATCTCGTTTTGGTATTGTGCTGAGTACTGCACCCACTCCTCACATCTTAGGGTCACCAAGCAGCACTCACTCTGTAGATGGAGTTTGAGCGGCCCACAGTTCCAATCTTGCCGATGTGATTCATGAAGCACAGATTCCCCTCGGTGGAGCCATACACCTCACACATTTTTATGTTTCCAAAGCGATTCTGGAACTCCCGCCACACGTCCTGCCTCAGCCCGTTCCCGACGCCCATCCGCACCTTGTGGACTTTATCCACCTCGGTCTGATGGAAGGAGAAGGAAGTGAGGACATCAGAAATGTGGCTCAAAACTGGATAAAAAGTCGCTGCACAAAGGGGATATGACGCCATTGACAGGCGACCGGTGAAACGCAGTGTTAAAATGACAGATTTCTCTAAGTTTGAAGTTTGAACATTGTTGGAAACACTTGGGATAACGCAAGTACACAGACAGACAGATTCTAGCTTAAGGTTTAGGCACAAAAACCACCTTGGTTAGGGTATGTTCATGAATTGTCACATATGCCATCAACAGACAAAGCCACAGCTGAAATGTTACAAATACTATCTATCTAGGCAGCCTGTCCAAATTAAGCGATACCCATTTTTTTCCCTATTTCTGTATTTTTGTTTTAAAACTTGGCCCACAGCATCAATTCCCAATTAAAGGCATGTTGTAATGCCAGACGACTGCATTTGAGTTCTAATTATGGGAGACCACATAAATGTCATAAACTGTCCCTCTTTTCAGAGCCACCACAGTGTGCAACATTGAGGAGGATCTATTGTCAGAAATGAAATATAATATTCATAGGTATGTTTTCATTTAGATTAGATTTATCTAATCTAAATGAAAACATACC